GGTCCAATACAGCCTTCCTTCGAGATACTGACAAACTCAATGAATTCAAGGTAGCTCTCAACAACAGGTTCCAAGCCTTACAGGATCTACTGATGGAAGAAGAAACTACTATGGAGGATAGCTGGAAAGGTATCAAAGAAACATTATCTTCAACGTGTGAAGAGGTTCTGGGCTCCAAGAAGCATCATCACACGGAATGGATCTCTATAGAAACACTGGACAGGATCAAAGAAAGAAAGAACAAGAAGACAGCAATTAACAACAGTCGAACAAGAGCAGAGAAAGTCCAAGCACAAGCAGAGTACATGGAAGCAAACAAGAAAGTGGAGAAGAGCATTAGAGCTGACAAGCAAAAATACGTGGAAGAACTAGCAACGACGGCGGAAAAAGCTGCAAGAGATAGAAATATGAGACAGCTTTACTATACGACGAAGAAGCTAGCAGGGAAATACAGTAAACCAGAGTGACCAGTCAAAGACAAGGAAGGAAGACCAATCACTGAGATTCAACAACAGCGCAACAGATGGACAGAGTACTTCGAGGAACTCCTGAACAGGCCGGCTCCAATGAATCCACCGGACATCGAAGCAGCACACACAGATCTTCCTATAGATGTCAATCCACTGTCTCACAAAAAAGCGTTTTATGACCGTCATCATCAGGTCGTTAGGAATAACGTTAATGCAACTGCTTCGGTTTCGGCCCTCACACAAATCAATTGAGATTCGTGTGGCGCATATGTATTTGGTGCCTCCTTGTACCAATACTTATGTGCTAAAATAAATAAATAAACAGATCAAGAATGCTGGCGAGCGACCTGTGTTCCTCCACGAGGAATAACAGGCGTAATAATTTAAGGAAGTTATGGGATACGCTCATTCACAGCACGCAATCTTGAGGAATCAGATATTAGTTTAAAGCAGGTATCTATTACTCCCTGGTTTTCAGTTGCACATCATGTGCTGTTGGTCAGCGTCACATGTTATTTAAAAACTAAACTGATATCTATATTTCTATATCTATATCTATATCTCAAAGAAACCAGCTTGCATTTCCACTAACAACGATTTGAACAGGCATAATTTCACAACCTTCACAATAACAACGTTTCGATGGTGGTTTGGCAACACGTTGTTATGTGCTTGCTGTGATTTCTCGGAAAGATTTGAAGCATTTCATCAAACAACGGACACATCACTGGTGCACTAATTCCTTTCCGGAACTTTATGTGTCATTTTTACTTTGATATTCTCATCTTGTTATAGTACTACTGCATTTTTGGAAATCTGTTTTCGTGCATTGACATAAATAATATTCGTTATGACCGGACAGACTCCCAAACTATTGAGATCAACACTCTCACGCCACCCTCATTTCAACCAATGCCACTCTTTCCCGACAACTTCGATGTCTGACACATAACATTAGTATTTGCCATGACCGTAGACGATTCGGAACTCCTCAAACGAGTACTTTGACTCTAGAGCACAAGAGACACATAACGGTGATTTTTGTTGGTATCAACCATTTTCAAAACACGGCGTTATTGTAAACATACAAAATGTGAAACCGGAACCAACACTTTAGAAATATTGAGACATATGCTGATACTCAAGTTATTCAACCTCTAATAAAGGACTTGACCGCCATTCTGGATTGCACAGAACTGACACTAATCAAGTGTAAGATCTATACTACTCACCTACATTACACATCATCACACCCCAAAATGAAAACTGCTACTTATTTTCATCCACCTCCAACACCGACAAAATTATCTGGCAACATGAGTAACAGGATTGCTCAGATCGATCTAAATAAAATACTGATATTCAACCACTCTAATACAGCATCAAACATCGCGGTTCACTAAGCACAGTCGACTGGTATTCGCAAACATCTCGTTCGAAATGATCACGCATAAGCATAAGTAGAGAGGAGATCTCAGAAATTAATGAATTTGAATTCGACCCATTGAGATAATGTCTGTTCAACGCATAGCCATTATGAATTTATTGTTTTAAACCATCGGTGATCTTTAAAGTGCAATTGAGAGAATTGATGAGAACACTAGGAAGTTCACATCATGTCCTATAGTTGCAAAGTGATCAACAAACTACTAATTAGATGAGTCCATCAAAATCACAGAGAATTCTACTCATAAGACCACTGAAAGTAATTATGCTGAAATGTGAAAATATGCAGTTGTTATTTTGCACTCAGTTGAAAGAGAGTATGGAGCTGACATTTCTTAGGTCATATTGTCAAGGTGAGATATTTTAGCGTGATTATCTAATCTAAATAATTCACTACCAGTTTTACCATTGAGCTCTACTTGGTGAATCAATGCAGCAAGTGACCTTGAGATACATTACGCACGCATGCTGAACTCCTCTGAATGTTGTTTCAGCAAAGCGCATAAATGAGGAAATTGACAGCCTTCATTCTTTGCAATTGCTTTCAAAATGAATCCAGGATCATTGTTTGCATCATAATTGTAAGACATATCTCTGATTACTGCTCGTTCCAGTCTTCCTAATTACATTCATCCGATATACTGATGGTGGAACGGATAAAGCATTGTCATTTATTGAATTCAATTTTGCCACAAATGTACCGATTCTGAAGACACAAGAAACATTTACCACTTAAGAGTGTACGATGGCGCTGATCCACTGTGTGTCACAAATCTTTCGACAAAGTTAATCCATCATCATCCTCGCATCTACCACTTGCACATTCTGATCTCTCAATGAACATTTTTGCTGTAGATGCTTCCAATTATGGCATCAGTGCTGTTACAACACCTTGGTTATCAAATGGCAAAAAGAGAGCCATTGTGCATGCTTCCAGAAATTTATTTTCTATTTTATGCTACGTTGTGGTCTGTTTGATTGGTATATAAACCGAGTAAGTGCGAAATATAATGATTCATATTGCAGAGGCTGAGATTGGCGTTCTGGACTTGACTGGCTGGGCTAGGCGGGAATCAGGATCAGTCAGATCTCTAGGCTGCTCGCACGTGTTTATGCATCCTTGGTCCAATCGATAGTTAGCTGTCTCTGATTGGCGGCAGTAGGCTATAACAGTAATCCTCAACAGTACAGCTTTTTCTCTAGAGACGTTTATCATCTGTACCTTACGATTGTGAAGTACAGATGTGTACTTGAGTACATATACATAAGTCTAAAGGCACTATTACGTAGTCTTCGTCGTTGAATATACATCTGAGCATTGTTTGTAGCCACAGGTGTTAAGATCTTTCTGTAAGTACTACGGTCTGATTCGTTTATTTTTTTTATTTTATTCATATGGAAACACAGAAAAAATCTACGGCGCAATTGAAACATCGTTGCGGCAGACCAGCATATCATTTCCCGGTCGATGAGGGGATGCATGGTGATAAATGCAATGAGCAGTATCACAATGTGTGAACCAAACTCCCACCGACTGTACACAATCGGTTCTGAAAGCCATTATCGCACTCTTCTTGCTTCTGTATCAGTTGAAGAAAATGTAAGTGGCATGTTGACCAGCATAATGCTGATTCTTCAAGTGAAATCAGCTGGAATTTCTGATCACACTCACCCTGATCTTATCTGAAAACAACTAGTGACATGCATGTGACGTGGTTGGTTCTCATATATGCTATCTCGTCAGCGGTTATAAACTTTTAAAGTTTTCTCATCATTCCACTTTGTATATGGCACGTATGAATCTGTCGTGAAATAACGTGTTCACAGTGACAGTAAAAACTAGCTTGACTCTCTTAGAAGTAGACCGAATACATATAACCTAACATCTCTTCTGAGTAAGCGTGGATGTAAAACAAAAGATATTCCATTTCTTATGTAGGATGACATAACGCAAGACCGCTCTACAGATAAACGATAAATATTTAGGAACTGGTTGACCCATCTCAATAGACACTAACCCGATGAACTGGACAATACGACACTAGCATCCAGTAACTGTGCAAACGTATACATGAGTGCTAGAAGTGTGTATGGAGCAAAGAAATATCTTCAGACTACAACAGGTACAGAAATTGACGGTATCTTTCCTATATTCCCTAAACGATGTAGTGATGCATCATTTATTCGTCTTCAGATATTACCCATGCATAAGATACAGGCATATACCCAAGGAACTGGAAGATCAACAACATCATCGCGCAATACAAGATTGGGTAATGAGAGAATTCTGCCAATTACCGATCGACTAATACCAATACAGTCATTTCACGAATCACGAGAAGGTTGAAATGATTAGTTTCTAGAATTATTTACTGATTCGAAAACATGTTTCCAAATCTCAACACGGTTTCTTAACAAGTGGGTCGTTGACAACCTGCCACTTTGAGTTCTTTGACCACATTACACAATCTTATGTAATACTGCAACATAGTGTGATCTTTCTTTTGACATATCTCAGTCAATTTATAAAACATACAATCATGTATTGTATTATAATCTGAGTTGTCTTATTCAGACAGCTCTAAGCATTCATAGATGAAGAGGATGACGATGTCGATGGGTGAGAGATAACAGTACGGTTGTCATTATGCACTCACACACTAGACAATCATTCAACTGTGACGGCTTGTGACAGTGACGCGTAAATACACAAAACCACGTAACAACAAAACGCCATTTCTGAACTCCGAAATTAGTTGTCATTTGATCAATCAAGAAAACCAACTACGTATTTCACTTATGTTTATTTCGGTTCAATTCAACATTATCAATTATACAAAAATGTGTTTATTGTAAGCAGTTTTGTAAAACAGACGAACAATCAGTTCACGGAATTCTTCATGAAACCTGAAAACAAAATAGGAGAATGATATACAGTGATTAGATACAAATAAATTTAACGAAGTCGATAATCGGACGACATATTGTGTCCTTGAAATGTGTTGATATTTGACTGATGACTGTATAATATTTGGACTAATTAAACAAACATCACTCACCGTATTCAGTGAAGTGTCTCCTCATTCAATGAAAGAATGGATCAGCTCTCACTCGATGTTGACCATGATAATATCTATGGTATTTGATGGGATTATTGTCGTCATCATTTATTTCGGGCATTTCCTCATGACCACCATTTGTATTGATATCAATATTAACAATAATGTTATGGTCATTATTATGGACACTGTCGTTTTCAACCTCGTATTCACTGCCCTCATCTTCTTCGTCTTCATCAATTTCGTCTGTTTTATCATGATAATCTTCTTCCTTTTCTTCACTCGGTTTTTTGATAGGTTCCAAGGTGTCAATAACGTTCTTTATAACATCAGTTAAACTGTTTGAATTTTTATTTTCTCCCATATTGGGCATGATCTCTTCTTCGTCGTGGGCATGAGCATATGTGTCTGCACTATCCTGCTCAACACTAAGACTCTTAGGTGAACCTGAATTTAGAAAAATATAGATGACTGGTCAATTTACAGTGATATTATGAATGGAGATTCACGAGACGGAAAGAGACAATTCAGACTGAAAATTGTAAGTTCCATACTCATAACCCAATGTCAATATTCACTAAACAGTATTCTCGTATTCTATATGCAGTAGTCCAAGCACATTGACGAGATGATTTAAAATCAAACAATCTTGTTCTCCAGTCAAATAATTCACCCAGCTAAGTTTCAACAAGTCATGTTCATGAAGCACAAATCTGACATATGCTAACAAATCACTTTCTTAACAATATAAATCTTACATAATACAATATATATATCAATAGAATAATTAGAACTTACGTATATATGCGTGAATGAATGGCACGACCAATGTGACGCATAACATGCTCAACACTATTGATAAACGCATTTTGTTTCACAAATGAAGTGAACTTGAATTGGTGTGGAGTGGATAGTTGGTCGGATAAGAAACACTCCATGCTTATATACTGATACGCACCTATGGGATCCAATCAAATGTGTGAAACTAATTGGATGAACTCATCTGATTGGTGTTCTCTTTTTCTGGTTCACTCAATAATTTGTTACTAAAAATGTACATGGAATGTTCATATTGGAAAGTGTTTATTCCTATATATTCTATTCTGCATCAATAACTACAATAATAACAGCAAGCACAATAAGTGCTACTACTACGACCACTATTGTTGATAGCAATACACAGCTAGTTCTGCTAAATTCTGACTGCAAGATCATCAAATATTGTCGATATCTTGCAATCCTCCAACGTGTTTAGTAAGCAGTCAAACTCAAATTCTGACTGCATGATGATCAAATGATTTTCCATTGAAAAGCGAAAGAACAAACACTCTAGCAGAATAGCACGATTTCATTTTATTTCGTTGGTTCTCGTCAGCTGCTTACAACCTGAGATATTTAAAATCATATTTATATAATAGGTGTAATCTACTTACATGAGAGTTTAATTTATAAGTCCTGTTGAATACACATTAGTATGATATATTGAGGATCTAGATCAGTTTATTAAACTGAATATTGTGCCTTATGCTTAAGAACATTCTACAACATTGATTAGGACAACAGATCACACGGCCAGAAACAAGTGATCACATAATGAATTTATACTGATACAAATAAAATGAGTAGAGTTCACTTAATATAATAAGATTACTAATGTGGAAGATAGTTGAAATTAAACTCAACGATGTAATAAATGCAAGAAATAGTTAACAAAACAATGTTTCACATGCAACGAAGTAACGTTTGTCACCAAGGCAAGGAAATATTAATAACCATCTCAACCCAGTTTGTTTTCAAATCCAGTTGCTTCAGATTGGTTGATAATCAGTGTTTTATTTAGATCCATCTGAGCGATTCTGTTATTCAGTTTATTAGATAACTCAATCGAAGACTGACAAGCGACTCTTTTATCTGCATTTATAAGTATTTGCTTAACTGCTAAAACTGCTACATTGGCCGGACACAAAGTCGGACATTTCCTTGATTTTTGAACATGTCCCTAAAACCCTCAGAACAAGAGAAATAAGGACTCAAATCAGTGCAATCAAAAAGCATTTCCTTGATACGGAGGTCAACAGGCAAAAGCAAATCCTTCTGCCCCATGCAGTCATTAAAGTGATTCTCATCCCGACGCAGCTTGGAATGACATCTGGAAAGCTGTGGAAACAGAAGTGATATCTGCTATTAAATAAACCGTATGGTTGGGAAAATAATCCCATCTAGCTCTGAATATGAGGAAGTGCGGAATCAGCATAAACGCATGCAGACAAGACACAAAAATCCTTCCGAGTACCAGTCACATTTTTACTACCTCTACCACAATGGGATTTGAAGCGACAATTACAACTACGAGCTAATGTGGCATGACAACTCGAACTGATGTACGTACTTAAGAAGTTCCATGTTCGTCGAGTTCATGATGGATGATAGTTGTCGTTGCGCCGTTGTGTCAAATGTGTGTGGAGACTCACTTCAGTGTGGTTTAACAAAATATCTTTGTCAAAGCTGCGTGCATGCGAGTTCAGATTGCATCGATCTGTGACTGATTTCTTGCGAAGGATACTTAGGACGAGTGATCTAGAATGCTCATGATGTTATCCATCCTATCGTAGAGACCTACATAAGAAGAACATGAAGAGAATACAAGTAATTCATAGTGGCTATGATGACAATATTAACAACAACTGACCGTATATTGTACGAGACATGCCAATTTGCAGACAAAAGTAGAAATCGTGAATGGTTGAATTTCATGGAATGACCGTTGCTATACAGCTACCTAGTCGTTGCTAAGTGAGTTGTGAATTTCTATTTGGATACATATCGCCATTTCATACAACGTAAGCGTTTTCACATTGTTTTTGTACAATGTCTCTCCCTTTGACATCCAGAGACATGTGAGTTATAGCATCACTGATACCATAATCAGAAATATCAATAGCAACAACAGTTTCCAATGTGGGATCAAAATGTGTGAGTAGTGGATGCAAAAGAATTGAATGACTCCATATGGCGATTGTTTCGTGACAGTCAGTGTGTCACTTCTTTTGCTGATACTCGGTTGTGGGCAATTGTAAAGCCACGTTGGATTTCTGCTCAATGTGTATTGAATTTCTGTTGAGGATGTCCGCTCTTTCTAGATATAAAACACGAAGTTCAGCGAAGGGATCATTTTACAATGAATTTATTATCAAGCTGTACAATCGCATATATGTGAAGAGGAATGCAGTTAGGAGTTCTATACTTGAATACCTGATAGACTGTAATCATTCTGCGTATCCAAATTTTGCTTTTAAGATTGTTTATAGGTTTCAATCAAGTCTATCTAGATTTATTCGTATCCAACTCCTAAAAATAACCAAAACTCTTACCACCCAAGAACGCAAACCACAACTATGCGTACAAAAGATGTACGTCTTACCGTTATCGTTACCTAGAACTTAATTATTATTATTTTATCTTTATTATTAGTATTACTGCATTCCGCCCTACTTACGTCATACAGCACGATGGATGGCTGGGAGTTCCCTACCGGATGTGCTATATCTCGATTCAGTGTCTTGCAACCGTCTCAAGAAGAGGGTCAAGGGTTGTCAGGTGTGGTTAACTCATTGTTGTAAGACTCCTCTGATTGCCCAGTCGGATGAGTCTACCGTAATACTAATAGGTGCTTCGGTGTCGTAGTGCAAAACAATATTGCTTTGACAACAAGTCCATTAACCGTGGAGAATGCCGATTTTAATCGTCGTTCGAAATGATGAGTTACGCATTTCCATGAAGTCGGTCGGTTAAGAGTTTAATGATAGAAGCGCGGTTCTGTATGAATCGTCGATGAAAACTTACCAATAGTCTATTCAAATAAATTATTAGTCTTACAGTTCAGCGTGGCACTAGTGGGAAGCGTTCAGTTAATTTACTGGATACATAGTTTGTTTGAATTCTGTGGGTGTATCAAGGTAACCCTCTTATTGACATTTAATGGAGCACCATTTTTAATTGACTCATCCTATACGATATTACTAAAAAACAGCGACAGTGGTATTTCACGTCTATTCAACTATTTACGGCCTGTCATCTATAGTATATACAATTAAATCACTAGTATAAAGATTGTAACATATCAAGTAGTCTCGAATGACTGTTCTTCTACTGCAGCTGTTGAACAGTTGAAAGAACTAATTACACACAGACAGTTGTTGATCAGTAGTTGAACATGCCGTTGGAATGATCATTGCATGCAGAACAATGACATATCCGTAATGCATGTTATATTATAACTCATGGAGTTGATGTAGCTACAACAATTTAAAATTGGTCGTTCAGTTGATAAACTGGATAATATACAGCAAACTGAGGTGTTCATATAAAAGAATATAAATGTCACTTTGGATAAAGAGCGTAGTTTCTAGGAGGATATTCAAAATGCAGCAGTTTCTTCTTTATTGGCTCTAATATATAAACTTGACTCGATCAATTTTGATCCCACTAGATGGACAGTGTCACAACAAATTCTCACACGAGAGAGTTTCAAAATCACGTACATGAACTTGTGTTTGCTAAACTAAACTATCATATAAGCAATGATGGTTGTTGAAAAGAAAATTGATATACACTGAGATTGTTTCAGTGCATAGCCAGTATGAATCATTCTTTTTAAACTATAGTTGATCTTCAAAGCGCAATTGAGAGAATTGATGAGAACACTAGGAAGTTCACATCGTGTCCTATAGTTGCAAAGTGATCAACAAACTACTAATTAGATGAGTCCATCAAAATCACAGAGAATTCTACTCATAAGACCACTGAAAGTAATTATGCTGAAATGTGAAAATATGCAGTTGTTATTTTGCACTCAGTTGAAAGAGAGTATAGAGCTGACATTTCTTAGGTCATATTGTCAAGGTAAGATATTTTAGCGTGATTATCTAATCTAAATAATTCACTACCAGTTTTACCATTGAGCTCAACTTGGTGAATCAATGCAGCAAGTGACCTTGAGATACATTACGCACGCATGCTGAACTCCTCTGAATGTTGTTTCAGCAAAGCGCATAAATGAGGAAATTGACAGCCTTCATTCTTTGCAATTACTTTCAAAATGAATCTAGGATCATTGTTTGCATCATAATTGTAAGACATGTCTCTGATTACTGCTCGTTCCAGTCTTCCTAATTACATTCATCCGATATACTGATGGTGGAACGGATAAAGCATTGTCATTTATTGAATTCAATTTTGCCACAAATGTACCGATTCTGAAGACACACGAAACATTTACCACTTAAGAGTGTACGATGGCGCTGATCCACTGTGTGTCACAAATCTTTCGACAAAGTTAATCCATCATCATCCTCGCATCTACCA